TCCCTGTTCACCTGTTCCCCGAGTGACCTTTAACCTGCCCACAGCTGTTAGTGAGGAGCGTCTGACCTCGGAGCTGCTGCCCGACTGCTGACTGTCAGGATCCACGGTCCGGTTCTCCCACATCAGAGTCATCGTCAGACTGGAAGACACGGAGACCTGAGGGACACGGACGGGAGCTGATTATCGACCACGTGCTGATTACTGAGCCTGATGATTCACACTGAGCACGGCTCACCTCGCCCGGGCTCGCGCTGATCTTCAGAGGCGTCGGTGTTTGAGGAGCAGACATCAGCGACACTCGGACCTTCTCTCGGACCTCCGGGGGCGTCCTGAACACAGCAGCCCGCCTCAGTTCACTCATCGATACTGACAGTGAACTGTGGCGTGCTCAGAGCGAGTGAGGTGGTGGTCATACTGCGTGCTGGAGCTGCACTGTGGGCAGGCCTGCTCCTCCTGATGGGCGGGGTGTTGGAGGGCGCAGACGGGGGTGGAGGTGAGAGGTGGACACCGCAGCTTCAGCTTGTCAGCGGCGCACAGACTGAAGAACTAAACGAGAGAAGACATCAGAGCTGCAGAGCGACCACGCCCGCTCCGCCCACGCCCGCTCCGCCCACGCCCGCTCCGCCCACGCCCGCTCGACTCACTTCTGAGGGGGAGAAGTTCAGAGCTCCCATCTGGCTGCTTCTGCTCCACGACGGCGACGAGCTGTCGTCCTCGCCGTCCAGCTCCCGCTCTTTCATACCTGCAACCTGCACACAAACACCGGCTTTCACCTAAAGCGGCACGCCGCCCTCTGCCGGCTCGACCCGCAGCTGAAGTTCGGCTGCTACGCCAAGGTCAGTGAGGGCGCCGAGCGGCACGGTTACACCTGCCAGACGTTAGCTCGCGCTGCCGATTCTGCTCTCTGTTAATATTTGATTCTAAACTAAACCCCGCCTTCTCCACTGTGAGGTCAGCAGGTGTTCGCTCTTACGCTGCTCTCCTTCAGGCCCATGACGGAGAGGTGGCCGTCGTTTCTGTGCGGGCAGACGGGCAGCAGTGCTGGGGGCTGTTTCAGCGATGATGTCACTTCCTTTGAGTCGTGGCTCCACGTCTCCAGGCTCTACGGTTAAAAAGTCGGGTTAGAGGTGGAGCAGAGGTGAGAACAGCGAGCGGTCAGCGAGCCTGACAGTCAGACGGTTACCGCCTCCATCAGGTCCACGGACGCTACCGGTCTGCTCGTGCTCAGAGATCCGGCAGAGGAGGAGCACAGATGGGCGGAGCTCCCGTGGCGCATGCACACGCTTTGACTGCCGGAGGCGCAGCTGGACTCGTCCTTCGAGGTCGACAGACTGTCAGCCTGCAGGACGACATGTCAGCATTACCACCAGCACGCCACTGACCTCTGACCTCACAGACAGGCAGGCGGTGACCTTTGCAGGGATGCTGCGGGGGAGGCAGCTCTTGGATGCCGGTGCCGAGGTGGAGGCGACGTAGGAGCCGTGGAGGCGCAGGACCTGCAGGTATCCCTCCTTCTCCACCTTTCTCTTCAGGGTGGAGTTCCAGTGGTTCTTGATGGAGTTGTCCGTCCTGAGAACACAGAGAGGTCAGCGGGTAACCACACACGAGCGCCGCCCGCCCGCCCCCACGAGTCCCGTGCCTGCCGGGCAGCAGCTTGGAGATGTCGGCCCAGCGGTTTCCCAGCAGCCTGTGCGCCTGGCAGATGACGCGGTCCTCGTCCAGCGTCCAGCTGCTCTTCTTCACTGTCGGGTTCAGGTGGTTGTGCCAGCGCTCGCGGCACTGCTTCCCGTTCCGGGTGTGCAGGTGTTTGGCGACCAGCGACCAGCGTTTCACGCCGTACTTCTGCACCAGCTCTCTGACCTGCACAGGAAGTGACATCGGAGCATGAGCGATGACGGATGCGAGGAGGGTCTGACTCTAGGGGGCGCTCACGTGACGGTCCTCACCCTGTGATCCTCCTCCTTCGTCCACGGACCTTTGACCAGGTCTGGATTCTTTATCTGCTGCCACCGCCGCTGACACTCCACCGGTGACCTTTGACCCTGAGGCAGACACAGAAGGTGGCGTATGTTCAAACTGCAGAGCCACGAGGCGCCTCCTCACCTTCACTGTGACGTCTGTGAGCGACTCTCTCACCCCGGTCACGGCTGAGGTCACAGGTCGTTTAAGCTGAGCGACCCTGAAATCAAACTACTCACTCTGAAATGAAGGGAAACTGAAGACCAGCAGTTTGCTCCGAGGTCCTTCACCAGCCGCTGCAGCTTCTCGTCCTGAGGAGGGAGAGCAGTAGCTCGGTAACGCCGCCACACGTGCTCAGTAACAACTAACGTCCGAGTAGGGCGGGGCCATATCATACTGTTCACGGTAACACCGGTGTGATGTTGGCAACGATAGGAAAATGAAATATGGCGACAGAATATGGGTAAAACACGCATGCGCAGTGCCTTTGTTTACATACGCACACGGCGGTGACGCAGAATGAGAAGAGCGAAAGTGGATCGTTGAATGAAACCTGAACTGGTTTGTAAAGATGCTGCAGCTTCACTGGTGTGGAACTGGTTTAGCTTTCGTCCGTCAGATACACAACAAAGCACTATTTTTGGTAGCGCATGCTAGCGGGCCGTCGTTATTACCGTGTTGTTTGGAAAATACGACACTTAAAATCAATCCTTTGATTTTTCTGAAAGTCGACAGAGCCCCTTATAATCCCGTGTGCCTTATGTATGAACTCTGGTTGTGTTTACTGACCTGGAAACGATTTTATGTTCACGGCGCTCGAAAATCTGTCAGATGTTTCAGTACGACTTTGCTAAGCTACGAAGCCGCACCGCTTGATGGATTGTCGGAGCATTACGGCGATCGTAGGCGGAGCCTCGCGGAGTGATACGTACTGTGCTTCAACATAATATTACCGTATTGTGTGTGTATAACTGTTTTTACGTTTTGTGGATATTATACATGGTTATGCTGAGGATATGTCGGCCAGTTTCCACTGGAAATGCCTTTTGGTTAAACTGTCAGGGAGGAATTTGTATTTGCACTGTTACATTTTTATATAACTTTAATGCAGATAAAAAAGCTGCTTGTTTTAGTGAAAATTAATAAAGTTGTGGAGTTGTAAAGTGTTTTGTCTTGTGTCAGTTATATCGTTATCACAGATTTTTAAATGTATATCGTGATAAATATTTTGGGTCATATCGCCCTGCTCTACGTCCGAGCATGCTCAGTCAAAGTGTGCGACGTCGGTCTGAGCCAATCGGCTGCACCGTTGCTCCAAATCTGAGGGAAGCTCGAGTCCTACGGCAGGAGGCGTCTGATAAACAATGACCAAAGCTTTCAGTTCACCCGCTAACACGCGTGTGAGGTTAATGCTGGATTTACACCAGGACAAGTCAAACACACGGAAGCAGGACATCAAACCCGAGTCAGCTGTGAGCGTGAGCAAAGAAGCTTCACCGTGGCAACGGGTAAATAAAGAGCAGAGCCTCCCCTTTAATCACATGACGGCGTGTCAGTCTTTAACGGGACAAAACATTTGATCACTTTGGGCCACTGATCGATTTTGGTACAGGCACAGTTTACTGATGGTTATCAGTTGCCCGTAGCAACAGACTGGATCTGCCCTCCAGTCGGTTTTTATAAGAAAGGTGCGGTTTATGACCATTTCATTTTGTCTAGCTTCTCTGCTTAGGCTGGTGCCTGACATTCACCGAGAGGTCCAGATGCGATGAGGAGTCCGAGACAACAGCGAGCAGCTTAGGTCACACAGTCTGTTACCATGGTAACACCCACCCACCGCTTCATCTTAGAGTCGTTAGCTAACCCTGTTTCCTGGAGTACGTCCCCCAGTTTGACTCAGAGCTTTAGATTCCTGTGCCTTCATAATAAAAGTGTGCAGCTGGAGGGCTTTTACTGTGAAAGGACACAGGATGTGCACAGAGTGTTGTCGGTGTGTTACCTCGTCTTTAGTCCAGGCAGGCTTCTGTAGAGCGGCTCTGGAGAATCGACCCGGGCCGTTACGTGCCCAACAGCCGGAGCGACCCTTCATACTGACACAGAACACACACGCAGCCAATCAGCACGCAGCTCTCTGCATAACACTTCAAGTCATTCAAAACCAGTGAACTTCTCTACAGTGTGACCTGCTGCCCCCTGCTGGTGGGAACTGGGGAGAGGCAATGACAAATGTACCAAAATAAAAGCAGCTGCAGTGTCAGGTGACGTGTAAGAGCCCACTGGACACAGGAAGTGTTTTAAATAGACAGAGGTGAGGGTGAGCGCCTGTGGGGACAGAACGCACTGTGGCCGATGAAGGGGGCGGGGCCGCACCTGGAAGTGGTGTGACACGTCAAGCCGATAAAACGCATCACGGTGACATCACATCAGACACAGACAGGAAATCTGCGCACGCTCGCCAGGACACGTTATCAAGTACACCTGCTCAACTGCTCCTCGGCGCAAATATAAAGCCAATCACAGGGCAGCAGCTTCGGGATGAAGAGGAGCTGCCGAGGCTTAAACTGAGCACCAGAGTGATGAAGAAGAGTGATGTCAGCTAACATGGCCGAGGTCAGAGGAGTCTGATTCTCTGACCGGACCCTGCAGGAGCAGAACCAGGTCTGCCCCCTACAGGACAGTGAGGGCGACACAGGAGTACTGTTCAGTTATCGATCGTTAGATGGGACGATCGATAACTGAATCTGTGGAAACAGCCAGTGTCTGTGTGTGTCTGTGTGTGT